CTGATGAAGGGTCTAGGCCCGAAACGTCAGCCTTCCTGCTCCTGTGATGCTGCTTGGCCTGCTGTGTTCATCCAGCTCTACACCTTGTTATCTCTGATGAAGTGCTGTTGTGTTTTCCCGCCTAGTTTTTAAACTCTGGTGTTCGTTGAGCTGGGTTACCTCACTTCCGGTTTTCCTTCACAATGAAGTATATATAGGGTCTAGCTCTATGTGTTTGTTGATGGCCTTCTTAGTGGAGAACCAGGCCTCTAGGAATTCCTGTGCTTGTCTCTGCTTGGCCTGTCCCAGGATCCTGGTGTTGTCCCAATCAAACTGGTGGTTTTCTTTATTCATGTGGATGGAGATGAGTGAGTATTGGTCGTGTCTTTTTGTTGCTAGTTGATGTTTGTGTACTCTGGTGGCTAATTTTCTTCCTGCCTATTCAACGTATTGTGAGTTGCAGTCATTGCAGGGAATCTTGTATATGACGTTTGTCCTGTCCATAGTGGGTAACGGGTCTTTGGTTTGGGTTAGCAGTTGGCGTAGGGTTGATGTGGGTTTGTGTGCTACTCTGATACCCAGTGGTTGTAGAAGTCTTGTGGTCAGTTTGAATATATAATTGATTTAAGGTAGCGTGATGAATGTGTTGGGGCGTGCAGTATCTTCCTGTTGTCTTTCGTGTAATAGGCATCTTCTGACCCAGTTGTTCGGGTATCTGTTGTTCTTGAATACTTAGAGGAGGTACTCTTCTTCTTTTTGGCGTAGTTCCAGGTTGTTGCCCATTTAAATAGGGTTTTACACAACTTCGTTTGTGCGTGTTAGGGTGGTTGCTGTCGAAATTCAGTAAAAACCAAAAGAACTGCGAATGCTGTAAATCTGGAACAAAAACAAAGTTGCTGGAAAAGCTCAGCAGGTCTGGCAGCATCTGTGAAGGAAAATACAGAGTTTAACGTTTTGGGTCTGGTGACCCTTCCTCAGAACAGAGTACCTCCTCCAAGTATTCAAGGACAATGGATACCTGAACAACTGGGTCAAGAGATGCCTATTACACGAATGACAACAGGAACATACTGCATGCCCCGACATCACGCTACCTTACATCAAGAATATATCCGAACTGACTCCTACGACCACTACGACCCACATCAACCCTACGCCAACTGCTAACCCGAACCCACTATGGACAGGTCCAATGTCATATACAAGATTCCCTGCAAAGACTGCGACAAACATTACATTGGACAGACAGGAAGAAAATTAGTCACCAGAGTACACGAACATCAACTAGCAACAAAAAGGCACGACCAATACTCACTCATCTCCATCCACATGAATAAAGAAAACCACCAGTTTGATTGGGACAACACCAGGATCCTGGGACAGGCCAAGCAGAGACAAGCACAGGAATTCCTAGAGGCCTGGTTCTCCACTAAGAAGGCCATCAACAAACACAGAGCTAGACCCTATGTATACTTCACTGTGAAGGAAAACCGGAAGTAAGGTAACCCAACTCAAAGGACACCAGAGTTTAGATATCTGGTGAGAAGACACAACAGCACTTCATCAGAGGCTGCACTGATGATGTTACCCAGCAGGGTAATGGAACGTCTACAGAACAATGAACCAGCTCGGCGAGCCAACCAACCACAACATCCACAACCCGAGCTACAAATCTACTGAAAAGCCTTAAAGCATGCATATTTTTATTTCAGCTTTACTGATTACATAATGGTGCAAAGTGGGGAAATGTAACCAGAGCTACCCACTCATACCAGTCTAAAGGCAGGTAAAAAAAGTCTAGTCGATAAATCTTTGTGGGAAATCTGGACAAATACCTTGAAGAGAAACACGTTGTTAGGTGCATTTGTTATTAAACAAGAAGATGAAACAGACTCATTTATGGAGTCTTTGGATCTCAAGGCTTTTATATTTCAGATGTATAATTGTAGTATTGATTCCATTTTGTCGGTATGTGAGAAATGTACATATTGGATACTGACCTTTCCTTTCACCATTACACAGACATATGTAGGTTGAACATCGATATCAAGTAGAGATGTGTCCATATGTCTGCAAGTTAATTTTTAAAAAATTGATCAATATTGGCAATTCAATAAAGTGTGAATCCCACTTTTGCAAATAGTTCACGTAAGAGGATTACCTTGACGATCGGCTAATTGAATGATATGCACTATACTGGTTTTGGATAAAAAAAGGTAAATATTTCTAATACACAAGTAAAACAAAGCATTTCTTTTGAAGAGAGTACTAACCTCTAGCTTTGTATTATTTTATGTTTTGAAGTTTGGTGAAAACCTGTATTATGACACTTGTAAGCAGATCATAGAACAATATTGTCAATGCCACCTGTTGACATTAACCTTGCTGTTTTCATATATTCTAGAATGTTTTCCCAATATTGTGTAACACAGGAGAAAAAACATAGGGCATTAAAAAACGATTTTCTTTTGTCATTGTCTCTTTACCAGACTTCAAAATATTGCAAATGGGAAAAAAAAGGCTATCCGACTGAAGGTCAAATATCATCCAATTAGTTAATGATTATTTGAGTTTTCTAATTGGTGTAGGAAGGCAGGGCATCACAAGTATGGACATGTTCACCAATAAATGGCTGATTGTGACGGCAAGTCATGTGATGAAACCTTCATGAATACATTTAAATCACAGTTGGCAACTCTACTCAGTACACTAAATAGAGAAGGTGCTGAGGTAAACAGAGAGCAATATTGTCAAGATACATAAAACCTTGAATGTGCATTGATATGCTTTTAGTTGTGATCCCTTACTTGCATCCACAACTAAGCAAAATAGTGAAAATAAAACTGATAATTGCCCCCAATTAACCTATGACCCATTTTAGGCATTTATGAATTGTTGTTTGACTACTGATAGAGTGGCACCTGTGGAAACCTATAACAACCTTAAAGTATGGATGTTAAAAGACAGTGGCAGGCTAGTGCCTGTGCTGCAGTTAGGTGGTAGTTTATGCTTTCAGGATGTGAAACAAATCAGTGATGACTTTCTTTTTCCTTTCTCAATTCCATGTGGATATCTCTCTGTTCCTATATATATTCTGGAGTGGCTAAATACCAGTGCAGCCTCACCAGGCTGGCAATCCTCTGTTTCCCCTCCTCCTCTTTCGCGAAAAGCAAAATTATTTGACAGTGAGAGCCACCCTGCCCTGTCTGAAAATATGAGAATGTGGGATGGTAGCTCTTAGCAACTGTCAGCAAAATGCAAATGACAACACAATTGCCAAAAGAATTAAAACAGGAAAATGAACAAATATTGTGTTTTATTACAATGACAAATATTGTTATCTGGCACTTGAAATTTTCCATCTCTTCACCACAGCGCCTAGCAGTTTTGAATGTTAGCTTTCTATAGTCATGAATGCGACATGATTCACTACAAACAAGATGGAAAGAATGAGGTGGAGGCAGATGACCTCATGTCAGTGCCACCTTTTGGCAGTGTAAAGGGAACAGGCATCAAATAGTTAGAGATCCAAGTAATAGTTACCCACCCCTTTCTGTACTTCCAACACTTCATTAACACCCCAATATCAGGCATTTACAATCAGGAAATATCAGCCACTACCACAAAACTATGTAAAATTAGCGTTCTAAAAAAGGGCCCACAAAATTCAACTTTAGATGGTTAGGTTCTGACATTGTGAGATAGGTGTACAGTTGTATGTTGCAAGGGTAACCTGTATACAGCAAGATCCAAGATGAACTGATTATTTTCTTCATCATCAGTCAATTTGAAATCAATCCTGTAAAGAAAAAGAAAAATTTCAGCCTTTAATTTCTTAGCATACCACTTCTTTCAACTAGAGAGAAAGATTTAATGGTTGAGACAGGCCATGGTTCACTGAGCCAAACTTATACCTGATTATAATAATACCCCAGACTTGCAGTTAAAAGATGCTATCCGCATCACTGATGAAGCGAAAATTAGAAAGTAACTTCCAGTGACCACACGTGTAGTTAAGTGCAGAATCAAGTAATTACTATTTAAGTTGGCCTGCTCCTTCTGAAGCTTCAGTAACTCACTGAGACAGTTGATATTTAAGTACATGGGCTGGAATTTTCCCATTTAAAGTTAAGAGTGGTGGCAAGTGAGTTCCATGGTGTCAGTTTCAGTATGGCCTAGGGTGAGTTATCACACCCAGTCACACATTTCTCACCTCAATATTTATGCAAAGATGATGTTGGGTGTGTTACAAGGTGCATCACATGGCAAGTGAGGCAGAAATACTCATTATAAAATTTCTGGCACCATATTTAAAGCCTATCTGGATGCTACTTCAGATGCTACAAGCTGGGATCTACATCTCATACTGTGGTACTCTCCTCTAAACTTTGACCAAGATGACTCAGAAGAAAACTAAACTTGCTCCCCTTTTCATGAAGAAAGCTCTTGAACAGTTAGGGAGAGAAGGTCAGTCTTTTTCCCAGCTGATGGTAAGAAGAGGCCATCCTACCAGATCCAGGCAGTCTAGGGGGAGATAACAGTATGGGTCAGTGCTGTCTTGACTATGAAAAGGAAAAGCCAGCAGCGCTGCAAGAAGATTAATGATTTGCTGCATGCCACAATGCAGAGTGGGACTATTTCTCTCTGCTGCCTCACGCTCGCAAAATCATCACTCCCTCAGACTCTGCCACTACACTTGCTTCTCACCAAGGATGATGGGTTACAATCTTCAGCATCCCATGCACTATGTCAACTCAAGAGCTCACACCCAACTCATCCTCTATAAGCTGTCTGACCCCAACTCACAAGGGGGAGTAGGAAGAGAGGGAAAACAACAGTGGTAGAAGATTCAATTGTGAGCAGTTCAGGTGTTTCGGTGACCACAGACATGACTCCAGGATGGTATGTTCCTCCTTGAGGCCAGGGATCAGGAAACATTACTGAACAGCTGCAGGGTTTTCTGAAGCAGGAGAGCAAACGATCAGAGACCGTTGTTCATATTGGAGCCAATGACATAGGTAGAAAGAGAGACGAGATGCTACAACACAAATTTAGGGAGATAGATAGCAGATTAAAAGCAGGACCTCAAAGATTGTAATCCCTGGATTACTCCCAGTGCCACAAACTAGTGAATATAGGAATTGGCAGGTAGAACAGTTGATTGTGTGGAGTTGGAACAGGAGGGAGGACTTTGGCTTCCTGGATTACTGGTCCTTTTCTGAGGAAGGTTAGACTTGGGGACACAATCTGGTGAGCCTACGACTGACACATCTCTATAGCTGGTGGATGAAATGCTTAAATTCTCTAGCATTCAAGAAGTCCAGGCAAATCCAGCTACTCAGCCTCATGCAAAGAATGCAAATATTCTCTATTCTCACCATAAGTGATACTTTAAACCTGCAAAGACAGGCATGGGAGTGTCAGGCAAATATGCGAGGCACTCACTAGGGCAGATTCAGAGATGGAAAGAGCATTTTCACTACTGAAGTGGCTCTGGTATGTGAGTGCTTCCCTGTATTCAGGGATGCCTTGGAGACTTAAGTCCAGTAGGCTGTAGGATGCAGACTCAGAACTGCACCCTTTCACTTTTGCCATAGGTGCACAGCATTTGTGGCAAGGTGACAGGGTGTCAAGGGACTTTCCACCAGGAGCCCCTTCCTTTCAGGGAGACAGAGTGGCACCAATAGACATTTACAGGGAGGAGGAGTGAAATACAGACACCTCAGAAACTTCTTCCCAGGCCAGTTCAAAGATGCTCTGCCCTTCTACTTCCTCCACTGCCCGTGACCCCAGAACTGCAGCAGGGGGAAAATTAAGCCTGGATCAGGCCAGGAGACTGAGCAGCATGGGCACTGCAAACACCTGAAAACACACTGTAAACACCAGTACAACTGCCTAAGCCTTCCAAGTCAACAGGAATAGCCACACAGAAGATTCCCACACATAAGCTACAGAAGGCAGGCACGTACCTGGAGGGACTGGATAAGGAAAGCCTACTGAGCTACATAGGTGGCAGTGGTGCTACTTCATATAACTAAGTCACCACTTTTGTCATTATATTTTCACTTGCACTGTTACAATATCTGCTGTAATATTACTGTCACCATACGACCTATGTAAGTCACACCCATCTAAGAGATGAGGAGCCTCCCCATATATCTCAAGATTGAAAGAAGTTGTATTCGCTAAGCACTGCTCATTTCTCTGATAGCTTGATATGCCAGGTATCCTTGAACACTAACTTTGAGAAGGCATTTCACCTTAATTTGCAGGACACAGAGCTGAAAGGCAACATACAGAGAAAGTGGTAAGACCAGAGCTGCACATACACACCCCTCTTCAGCACTTACCTTCATCTCATGAAAGAGAGATGATTTCATATATCTCAGTAGGGAAATGCTGTTCTTATATCTGAGCTTCTCAAGGGAGCCCACTGATGGTCATGGTTGTGAGAAGTGAAATCTAGAATTTAAATTGTGTAGTTCCCAGCCAGTTGCCAGCAGGGTTTTAACAAGGCTTCCAATGAAAGTTCATCTTAATTAAGAATCAGCTGAAACTGGATTATCATTATGTGAATCTTGGGAGCATAGAAAACTAGCCAGCTTAACAGATCAGAAGATTAGACACAACAAAAACAGTTGAAAAGTGACTAAAAATTAATAAAGGAAGAAAAACTAGATGAGAGGAAGCTAGTTAAAAAAAATCACTGATTGTAAGAGTTTCTATATTTAGTTAGTTAACAAAGTGGTTTTTCGTCCTATTGAAGGTGAGATTAGAGGATCAATAATGAAATACACGGAAATGGCAGATGAATTGAACAGGTATTTTCCAATAGTAGAGGGTACAAGTAATAATACAGCAATAAACCAGATATAGGAAATGGAAGAGAAAACTCAGGAAAATCACCACTAAGAAGTGGCACTGAGTAAACCGTTGGGCCTGTGGGCTAACAGGAGTCCAGGCCCTGAAGAAATTCTATGGTCTTAAAAGAAGTGGCCACACCACAGCACTATGGGTGACTTAGCTGTATGCGGTTGGTGAGGAGCAGTAGGAATGTTAGAACAGCAATGGTCGTAGGGAATTCAATAGTTATGAGAATGCACAAGCATTTCTGCAGATTCAATTCCATGACGGCCTATTACCTTCCTGATGCCAGTCAAGAATATCACTGAGAGTCTGCAGAACCATCTGAGGGGATGGGATGACTAACAAGACATTGTGATCCATGTCATTGCCAATGACTTAACTGAAAGTGAGATTAAGTTCTTGAGGTAAATTTGAGAAAGTTAGGGAAGACATTAGTACACAAAAGGTAGTAGTCTCTGGGATATTCTGAGTGCAATGCATTATTGGGTACAGGTAAATTGGTGGATGGTATGGATGAATGTGGAGCTTAAGAAATGGTGCAAGATAGAGGCTATTAGACTCGTTAGGCATTGGGACCTATTTTGGGGAGAGATGGGACCTATCCTGTTCAACAAGGCCAGGACAAATATTGTTACAAGGAACTTCACTGTTTAAAATAACTTGGTAGAGGAACTACAACACACATTCAGAACAAAAAGAAGCAAGACTCAAAGCAGATGGCAGCAGATTAATGAGTTAGTGTGGAAGCCAGAAGAAACAAAGATCATAAATAAACAACAAAGGAGATTTGTAGAGCTGAAAAGGTATAGATTTCAGAGATAGGAGCCTAATGAATAAGCTGTGTGGGCTGATGGTACGGAAAGGTTCATAGGAGTATGTTAACTAAGCTATTACTGAAACATAGGTTAAAGGGGAGAAATAGCCGCTTTGTATTCCTTATTACTGAGGTTTTTGATGAGTACTGAAGGGGATAAAAAGTATGTGGGTAGTATAGTATTATATAGCTGCAAATCCAATTGTGGCCACTGTTCCCAATGGCTCTGCTCAAACTGAATATCTGCCAGTTCTCCCATCAGCCAGCAGCTCTTGGGAATAGGCTCCCACTTTTCTTCCACACAGAAGCCCTCATGCCCGTGCTGAAAAATGTGACTAGAGTTGTGCAAACAGATAAACCAAGATTGCCCTGACTGGCTCAATGTCAAGCCCTCAGTGTGCCATGTCTTCATTTAGCCACGCACTAAAATTAGAATGTTAAGCAAATAAAAGAGTAGGAAAACAGATGGAATTAGTAAATGAGTATGTGGCAACTTTTGTAATTGGACAGATTAAATCAATGGGTTAAATCAAACTTTATAGGCATTGCCATTTACAGAGAGTGTAAGCAAGAATTTCCAAAGCAACAATAGTGTGGAAATAGTCAGACAATCCAAACCCTCACTGAAGCACTGACTAGTGAGGTGCTACACAATATGGGTTGGGGTATGACCATCGGTGGTAGTCACTTAGAGATCACACTTCAAATACTTCCATCGCCTTATCCTTCTCTTCTCTAAGGAGAGCAACTCTGGTTTTTTCTGTTAATCCACATAACTGTAACCCCTCATTCCTTGAACAACTCTAGTAAATCTCCTCTTTAAAGCTTTCACATCTTTCCTAAAGCATACTGCCCAGAACTGCCATTCTATTCCAACTGAGGCCAAACTTGTATTTTACAAATTTAACTGCCTGGATATTATATTCATGCCTCTATTTATAAAGCACATAAATCCCATTTGCTTAATGAATTGCTTTGTTAACTTAATCCAGCAACTTCAGAAATTTGAACATGGATACCACCTGATCTGTCTTGCATTGCGTTTAACATTGTGCCATATTCTGTATACTGTTTCTCTTCATTTTCCCAATAAAAAACAATTCTTGAGGTCTATTAACACTACTGTGTTGACTGTACTTCCAAATACTGTCATTGGCAAATTTCAAAATAGTGCCTTAAATTGTGCCCACAATTCTAAATGATTAACATATACCAAAACAGCAAGCTTAATTATGGTGCCTTGAAGAGCTTCACTGTAAAACTCCCTCCAATCCAAAAACAGCCTTTCATCACAAGTGTTTTCTATCTCTCTTCTGCACCTATGTTGCTACTGCTCCTTTTATCCCATGAGCTTTAATTCTGAGAACCAATTGTGTATCTCTCATACATCACTGTATTGTGAAGAATTGCTAAAAACTCTTGAACCAAAAAAGATCTGACAATTATTAGATATTAAAAAAAACTTTGCCTTTTAAAATCTGAAACTTTCCTAGCACAAAGTAAGAGGAGAAATTTGTTTCCATTCACAGTGCTGTCTACCATGGGAGATCAATGCATGTCTGCCTAAGAGTGCAAACAAACGGATTACCATCTTGAGGGTCCAAGTTATTTTCCCAGCAGGTTGAAAGCTAAGTTGAATTACAACAAAAGAATTGTAGAATGAATTTCTAATGTATACATGATTTTAAAATTGCTTTTAATTATGCCAGATATAAAATCTGTATTGTGACAGGAGAATAAACAAATTACATACTTAGGTTCATTAACATTCAGGACTCGTCCCTCAGAGGTGATGAGTATTCGCTGTGGCTTTTGTTTACCTTGATTTCTGCAATGAAAATTATAAATTCAAAGGAAGTATTTACATATAATTAAACAAGTAGAAGTTCAAAATTTATTTTTAAAATCCCAGAACGTAGATTTTAGTCACTGATTTCTTTTCCTCTTTTTGGCAAATGTGCACTATTTCACAGGAACCGACAGTCTATACCTCATGAAAATGTTAATTCCTTTCCAGGAAAAATACACAACAAGCGTTGGTAAACAATTTAGTAAATTTTATCAATACTCAAATGATTATACAAATGCACTTCCTTAAAAGATGATTAGGCAGGAATTAACAACATAAAGCCTGAGGTTTTTGACTTGCTTGCCAAGCTGGCTTGTTCTCATTTCAGACATTTTGTCACCATGCTAGGTGACATCATCAGTGAAGTCTCTGATGAAGCGGTGTTATTCTATTCCACTTGCAATTTATACTGTCTTTTCCATTATGGTGAGTAGTGTCATTTCTGATTTTGATCTGTATGGGTTTGTACATGGGATCCAATTCGGTGTGTTTGTTGATTGCATTATGGGTGGAGAACTATGCCTTTAGGAATTTCCATGTGTGTCTTTGTTTGGTTTGGGCTACTATGGTTACCTTATCCCAGTTAAACTGGTGGCCTTCATTGTCTGCATGTACCAATATTAAGGACAGTTCATCATGCCGTTTTGCTGCTAGTTAATGTTCGTGTATTCTGATGGCTAGATTCCTTCCTGTCTGTCCGATGTAATGTTTGTGGCAGTCATTGCATGGTATTTTGTAAACCACGTTGGTTCTGCATGTTGTGGGAATGTGGTCTTTAATCCTTGTAAGTGTTTGTCGTAGAGTGGCTGTGGACCTGTGGACCACTGTGATTCCTAGTGGTCTTCGGAGTCTTGTTGTCAGTTCCAATATGGTCTTGATGTATGGCAGTTTGGCTAGTGTGTTAGGGCATACTGTGTCCTCCTGTTGTGGTCAGTCATTTGGCCAGGCTCATTAACCAATACAAGGTCCAGTATGGCCCATCGTCTCATTTGACTATCCACATACCGTTTCAAGATATTTGTATCTCTTAACAGAAAATTAAAAATAAGATACACAAACTAACTTTCTGACCTTTACATCATCCCTGTTCCCTAGTGAACTGACTTTATTCCAGTTAATGAAAGACAATTGCGCTCTAACCTTTCAGATCAGGTAGACATATGGAAATTATGAAATATATTTTAGTTATTTTTGAGATAGCGGACTTCACAAAAATAATTGTCCAATCTATTTCTAGAATCTTGGACAAAGCACCATAAATTAGGGAATTAAATATCCATTTGAAATACAAATATGTTTATTAATTATAATGTTACTTGTCCTTGTCTTTCAATTTCCGCATCTTCTCAATGTGTCTGTGGACCTCCAATCTAGATTCTGGAGTGTACTCTGTAGGTTCCTCCCAAAATTTCTTGTTCATTTCATCTTCATCTGTATTCTTTTTTCCTTTATTCCCTTCCCCAGTAGTGTTATTTTTCTTATTCTCTGTTTTCTGCCCAGGGTCAGGTCTAACCAAAAGGGAAATGGGAGACAATGAAACAACACAAAAAATGACTTCAAAAATAAGAAGAGTTGAAACCATCAATTTATATATTGTCTTGTTGATAAAATATAGACATTTGACTATAGTCTAATAATCTGGCATTTGAACAGAAAAAATACTGGTGATAAAGGTTATTGAAGGTCAACCAGAGATTTAAAGCACTGTTGATTGGCAGGAGCCATGGCTTGGCTTTGAAAATTATTTTCTTATTTGGAGGAAAAGAATCTCATGTGGATGGGTATTACAGAGATGGGGAGAGGGACGGAGTGGATTGCTTGCCCATCCCCCACCCTGACACCCCCATCATTCTGGGGATTGCTATTAACCTGAAACTTACCATGCATCACTGTGACAACAAGAGCTGGTCAGAGGCTGCAAATTCTGCCGAAAGTAACTCATGCCATGACTTCTCCACGGCTGTCAACAGCAACAAGGCACACATCCAAGACAAAATAGACGTCTTAACACCCCATCCACTATGTTAAAGAGTCACTCCATCCACCAGCAGCACATTGTTGTTGGCACTGTGCACCATCTACAAGATGCACTGCAGCAACTCACTAAGACTGCTACCAAAGTACCTTCCAAACTCGGCACATCCACCACTTAGAAACAAAGGACAAAACCTTATGGGAGTATGAACAAAGTGGGCAATGACAATAAATCTGGGAGAATCATATGAGAAGTTGGACAAGATCTTTCTTGACGACGAGAGCAATGGAGTTACAGGATTCGAGGCAAAATTCTTGCTAGGCCGTGTATTAATGGGGGTTATTGCTTGTTGTCAGCCTCATTAACTGCAAATCTTACTTAATTAATATCAATTTCCAATCCTACCACTCACCATAAGGAAAACAGATGTCAGCAATTCCTGATATGAAATTCAGAGCAGGTATCTGGCAACTTCATTTCTCTGCTTGCTCATCTGCACTGTAATCTTGGAAACCTGGCAACACCACCGCAGGGCACACTCCAAGACACTATATCCAAGGATGCTGGCATACACTATCGGTAGCCTCTCATGATCCTCATGGCACTTTTCTGCTCAACAGGATGCCTCTGCACTTTAAAGCTGCATTTCAGGGTGCACCCAGCAACAAACATTGCAATGCTGCTAAAGTGGTAAACATATGGCTCAAAGATTAGTGTGGGAGAAACAGGTTCAAATTCATGGGACATTGGCATCAATACTGGGGAAGGAGGGAGCTGTTCTGATGGGACAGACTCTACCCTGAATCATGCTGGGGCCAGAGTCCTGGTGAATTGCATAACTAGGGCTGTGGATAAGGCTTTAAACTAAATAGTGAGGGGGGTAGGTTCAGTTGCATGAAAAAATATGGAAAAAGTTAAAGAGGAGGGCTCAGCAGAGGTTGAAGTTTCCAGAACAAGTAATTGGACACAGAGTATGGAAAAGGTCAGGAATCTAACTTCAAACACAGCAGATAAAAGGACAGCAGGATAAAGCAGTCAGGGAGGGTCCCAGAAGACGGAAAATAGCTAATATGACATATCTGTTTAAGAAGGAAGGGAGGCAGAGACAGGAAACTATAGGTTGGTTAGCCTGACCTCAGTTTTCATGAATATTTTAGAGTCTAATGTTCAGGAAGAGATTGCAGCGTACTTAGAAGTGCACAGTAAAATAGGGTGGAGTCAGCACAGCTTTGTCAATAGGCAGAGATGGTCGTGCCTGACAAATCTTTTAGAATTCTTTGAAGAGGTAACAAGCAAGTTCGACAAAGGATTGGCAGTGGACATGATCTACTTGGATTTCAAAATTGCCTTTGGCAAGATGCTGCACAGGAAGCTGCTAATAAGAGCGCATGGTGTTAAGGACAAGATACTGGCATGGATAGAGGATTGGCTGACTGGCAGAAGGCAGAAATTACAGATAAAGGGGTCTTTTTCAGGATGGCAGCCAGGGACTAGTGGGGTCAGTGTTGGGGCAAAACTGTTCACATTATACAATAACAATCTGGATAAAGGAATTGAGGACACTGTTGTTAAGTTTGCAGATGACACAAAGATAGGTGAAGGGATAGGTAGTATTAAAAATGTGGGGAGACTGCAGAAGGACTTGGGACATGCTAGGCAAGTGAGCAAAAAAGTGGCCGATGGAAGTACAATGTGGGAAAGTGTGGTTACCACTTTGGTAGGAAGAATAGAGGTATATACTATTTTCTAAATGGGGAAAGGCACAAAGGGACCTTGGTTAACATGTGAGCTCAGTTGGCAGTTAGGAAGGCAAATGCAACTGGAATTCATTTCAAGAGAGCAGGAATACCAGAGCAGGGATGTACTAGTCAGACCACATTTAGAATATTGTTAGCAGTTTTGTGTCCCTTATCTAAAGAAGAATGTGCTGGCATTGAAGGAGGTCCAGAAGAGTTTACAAGAATAATTCCAGAGATAAAGGGCTTGTCATATGGGCACTCTGGGTCTGTACTCAATGGAGTTTAGAAGGATGAGGTGGAAATCTGATTGGAACTTACAGAATACTGAGAGGCCTGGGCATATACAAGATGTTTACACTTGTAAGAGAGATTAGGACCTGAAGACACAGCCCCAGAGTGAAGGGATGACCCTTTAGAACTGCGATTAATAGGAATTTCTTCAGCCAGAGGGTAGTTAATCTGTGGAACTTATTGCCCCAGAGACGCGAGGCCAAGTCATTGAGTGTATTTAAAGAGATAGATAGGTCCTTGATTAGTTGAGGGGATCAAGAGTTATGGGGAAAAGGCAGGAGAATGGGATTGAGAAACGTATCAGCCACAATTGAGTGTCGGAGCAGATTCGATGGGCCGAATGGCTTAATTTTGCTCCTATATCTTACAGTCTGCTGCAAGGACAGTTTGTGCACAGGAACAGGCAACCATCTCAGAAATCAGAACAGGCTGCATTTCAAAACTGTTCCAACTTGCTCTCTTTGTGCTTATTCACCTTGAGCTTATCTGGATGCTCACAATATCCCTGCCTTTTCCATACATTGCTTTTTAACACTTGGCTACCTCAGCTCAAGCTCACATTATTTCAGTCTTGCTCTATTCCTGTACTTGAGTACTCGTGGCAATAAGATCTAAATCTATCTTATTGCCTCCGTGCTGGATGATTCTATGATACCGTACTAAATATTACACTTTCAATTAAACAAAAAAACACACCTTTTTCATAAAATTGCTGTCACAGTAATGTTTCACACATATGATCCTATTGCTATCAGTATAGCACCAAAGCGAGAATTTTTCTTTCCCCAACTTACTTGTTATTCTCTTTATCTTCTAGGTTCTTCTGCCCTGTTTCTTTCTCCTTGGTACGTTTCAGGATATAAACCTCTTGTTGCTCCACAACTCGTTGTCGTACTATTGGATAATCCTGCAGTGCCTGAATCTGTTCGGAACGGGTGATTTCTTTTCCATCTAACCACTATAGGCCAAGTAGAAACAAGAGCAAAATGATCATAGACCACAATTTGAATTAAGATTCGTGCTTCTATAATATATTAAATCAACAGGATTCAAATGATGTCAAATAAAAATAACACAATATTTCTATATGGTAAAGTAGCTCTCTTTATTTGCTAAAAAAAAACTGAAAGAACTGCAGATGCTATAAGTCAGAAATAAAAACTGAATTGCTGGAGAAACTCAGCTGGTCTGGCAGCATCTGTGGAGACAGAAGTCGAGTTAACATTTGATTCAAAGGCCCTTATTCAGAAATGATATCACCTAGGAAAGCGTGGTATTTATCTTGATGTTAAGGGGTGGGGAGTATAAGCCAGGGAGGAAGACAAAAAATGAAGAAAAGCTGGATATGGGATAATGGAGAGTATGAGGGGTGAAAATGGTTTAGTTTGGTTGACAAAAAAATCAGACCTGGGCTGTGGGGGTGGATAAAAGACACAGAAGGCTGAAACTTCAACTGGAATCCATGTGAGGTGATTCTGAGTCAGAGGAATTCACTAGTGAATGAGATGTGGCTGTGGAAATGAGTTTTGGCAGATCCCTTGTCAAACACCAGGAGCAAAAATGAAAGTAAGTTAGGATGGTGAAGCAAAAGAAAGATTGGAATGAAAATCTTGTCTGAGACAAGAGGAGAACTTTGAGGTGGTCATACCTGGAAGAGATGTAGAGTTAAATACAAAAATATAATAAAGAACTGTGGATGCTGGAGATCTGAAACAAAAACAGGATATTGGTTACATGGGGGGTAAGGAGTATCACTTTGGACATTAACTCTATCACATAACAATGTCTGATCTCCATTATATGCCAAGCAATAGTCTGATACACATTCAGTTTTTTGTTCAGAGCAGGCAGATAGAAGCTTGAGGTGAGGGGTGTACTGACATAATTAAAAATAAAATTTCCAGTTTTAAAAAAAGGAGTTACATTTGCTATCTAATGGGATCTTCCTCACAGATCAACCATCTCACTAACCACATCTTTCAAGGACCTAGGATGAAATCCAAGCAGTTGTCAACATATAACTCCAACAATTTACTCTGTATCACATCTCTGCTGATTGTAATTGTTTTGAGTGCCTCCTTCCATTCTTGTATTCACTACAGTGAAGTCTGATGCAAATCGCCTCTTCAGTTTATCTGATTTCACTTTATGTTCTATTATTAATTCTCCAGTCTCACTTTCTATAGGACCATTGCTCACTTTGTTAATATTTTTATCTTTTAAATATTGAGAAATTCTTGTATTCTTATATTGACGAGGATCACAATTTTTTCTTTTGAGCGATACACTGGAAGTTTGAAGTTGGACATTGCAATGTAGCTGAAAAGGAGCAGGAGAGTTCTTTTTTTGAAACTTGAAGATCTAGTGGGATTGTCTGATATACACTTCAGCCAGACAAGACTATATGTAGCATTGTCCCAGGCCCTGAACAACGTGGGCTTTGGCATGAAATTTGCAAAAATCAAATGAGATGCCCAGTGAGACCCTTTGCAATGTTAAGACTAAAAGGCTGCATTTTCCAACCGAGTACATGATTTGAAGATGAGTTTCTTGCTGGCAATTGGCAAGAAGTGTATTATCATTCATTATCACCCTCATTATTACTGAATCTCACCTCATTAATATGCAGTTTCCATTCTCACACCCGGTGGATAGAAAATAGACGCCAAGAATCCCTTTCATGAAAGTCAGAGTAGGTACAAAGCCAGTTCACCATTTGTTCCAACATCTCAGGGCCCAGTCTGCTGATAGTGATCACATGTACCCAAATCCACAGATGTTGGCATCTGACATGCACCACTGTCTCTGCATCATCATGGCACATCTCTAATCCATTTACAGTACACTTCTGTACTTTAAAACTGCACTGTAGAGCACACTGGAACCTCTTCTTGTAAATGCTGCTGCAAAGACACTTTGTGAGCATGGACTGGCACCTAGCTCTGTGTGGATCAGGCTGCATCTCAGAGCTATTTAGGTTGGTCCCTTAACAGTCCATCACTTTGTGCTGACGTAGATGTTCATAGCATCCCTGCCTTGCCTTTTAGCACTGTGACCACTCAGCTGGACTTTAAAAACTCATAGTACTCCGATGTTGCTTTGCTGTTTAGTGCAGACACAAAGCCAAAGAAACAGTTCATGTTGAAACCTGCTCTTCAGAACTAGTATAGTCTGTTGTTTGATTCATTCCAGAACACAAATGATCCCAAAGGAATTCTATGAATTCCTCATCAATGCCAGTTCTTCCGTGCCCTGTGAGTTTTTCAATATTTTTGTAGAATAAAATCTCTCGTACATATCCATGTGGATCGAGAACTGGCTTAGTCATCGAAGACAGTGCAAGGAAGTTTTTCTGACCGGAGATCCATGACCATTGGAGTTCCATAGGGATCAGTGCTGGGACTCCTGCTGTTTGTCATATGTATAAATGATTCGGAGGAGAATGTAGGTGGTCTGATTAATAAATATGCGGATGATACAAAGATCAGGGGAGCTGTGGATAGTGAGGAGGATTGCCAGAGGATACAGCAGGATATAGATAGTTGGAGATTTTGGTGAAGAAATGATGGATGGACAAATGTGAGTTGATGCATTTTGTAAGATCTAATGCAGGATGGAAGCATACAGTAAAAGGCAGAACTCCTTAGTAAAATTAATACACCAAGATCCCTCTGTATATTAATCTGAAAATGATGAAGTGGTCAGGAAGATATATGGCATGCTTGCCTTCATTGTTCGGGGCACAGAGTATAAAAATTGGCAAACCATGTCGCAGGTCCATAGAACTTTAACTGGGCCACATTTGGAATATTGCGCATAATTCTAGTCACCACACCACCAGAAGGATATGGAGGCTTTGACAAGAGTACAGAAAACCTTTACCAGGATGTTGCCTGGTTTGTACGGTATTAGCAATGAGGAGAGATTGAACAAACTTGGTTTGTTTTCCATTTAATGTCTGATGTTGAGGGGTGACATGACTGAAGTTTACAAAATTATGAAAGGCACGGAAAGAATGGATAGTTCGAGTCTTTTTCCCGGGGTTGACATGTCAGTTATATGGGACAGAGGTTTAAGGTTAAAGGGGAAAAGTATAAAGGAGATGTGAGAGGCAGGGTTTTTTTTCTATACATAGGTTGATAAGTACCTGGAATGCACTGCCAGAGGTGATGGTGGAGGCAGAGGTAGATACAATAGCAATGTTTAAGAGGCAGCTTGACAGATATGGTTTGGCAGGGAAGAGGCAGCAAAAAATTTTTAAGTTTGGAAAGGGATCACATAACCAACAGTGTTCCACAGGGATCGGTTCTGGGTCCTCTTTTGTTTGTCATTTACATAAATGATTTGGATGAGAATATAGAAGATATGGTTAATAAGTTTGTGGACAACACCAAAATTGGTGACATAGTAGACAGTGAACAAAATTTTTAAGATTAGAAGGGGATCTTGATCAAATGGGTCAATGGGCTGAAAAATGGCAGATGGAGTTCAATCTGGATAAATATGAGGTATTGCATTTTGTTACAAAAAACTAGGGTAAGGCCTATACAATTAATGGTAGGCCATTGGGTAGTATTGTGGAACAGAGGAACCTAAGGGTGTAGGTATATAATTCTTTGAAGTTTACATCACATATAGACAGGGTGGTTAAAAAGAGAGTTGGCACGCTTGCCTTCATTGCTCAGTCTTTTGAGTATGGGAAGTCGAGATTGAGGTTGTACAGGAGATTGGTGAGGCCTCTTCTGGAATGCTGTGTCCAGTTCTGGTCACCCAGTTATAGGAAGGATATTATTAAGCTGGAGAGGGTTCAGAAGAGATCTACCAGGATGTTGTCTGGTATGGAAGGTTTGAGTTATAAAGAAAGACTGGATAGGCTGGGACTTTTTCACTGGAGCGTAGGAGGTTGAGAGGCGACCTGATAGAATTTTATAAAATAATGAGAGGTATAGATAGAGTTAATGGTAGTTTTCATTTCCCTAGGATGGGGGATTTCAAGACTAGGGGACACATTTTTCAGATGAGAGGAGAGAGATTTAAAAAAAGACATGAGGCAAATTTTTTACACAGAGGGTGGCTTGCATGTGGAGTGAATTTCCTGAGGAAGTGGTGGATGCCAGTACAATTACAAGGTTTAAAAGACATTTGGATAAGTACATGAATAGGAAAAGTTTGGAGGGATATGGGCCAGGAACAGGCAGTTGGGACTAGTTTAGTTTGGAATTATGTTTGGCATGAACTGGCTGGACCAAAGGGTCTTTTTCCTTGCTGTATGACCCTATGACTCTATGTGTCAGCACAGGCTTAGTGGGCTGAAGGGCCTGTTCCTGTGCTGTACTGTTATTTATTCTTTATGCTCACTAAAACATCTAAGACCTCTTCCTTATTGATCTTAACATGTTATAGAACCTCACCATTCCTACTGAAATCACTAGCTACAACTCTTCTGTGAATACAGATAAAAAATATTCACTTAAGACCTCACCCACGTCCACTGGCTCCACACACAGAATGTCCCTTTGGTCTCTAATAGGTCACACTCTCTCCCTGGTAATCTTATTACCCTTAACATGTTTATAAAATACTGCAATGTTTTTCTTAATCTTAATTGCCAAAGATATTTCATGGATCTGGTTTGCCCTCAAAATCACTTTTTTTAGACACCCCACCACCGCACACACTATATTTTTGAAGGGCCTCCCCTGTTTTTAATGCTCTGTACATAACATATGCTTCCTCCTTTTTCTCTACCAAACTCACGATATTGCTTGACATCCAGGGTTCCCTGGGCGTGCTGCCCTTACTCTGCACTCTTAGAGGAACAAGCTGGCCCTGAATTCTCACTGTGCTATTTCTAAAAGATTCCCACTTTCCAAATGTAGACTTACTTGCAAGTTGTTGCTCCCAGTCTATGTTTGCCAGATCCTATCTAATGATTGAAATTGGCATTCCCCCAATTTA